ACACAAGGGATAACAGACTAAAGGATAAAGCCACAAACCATAGGAACACCCCAGTAATACCCTGTTTATCCAGTGCTAGGTAAAGAAGATTATCCAGGTGAGTCACCGGCAGGGTAAGAGGGTCTGTCAGTGCTGGGACTCCTGGGCACTCCCCAGTGTGCTGGGCAAGGTCACGGTCACTGGTGCTGCTCCAAGGACTGCCTTCTGCATATCAAAGCATCCAGGGATTATTTTAAACCCATTTCAGTTTCATGCCCTGCTGCTGAAGTACTTCTGGTCCGGGCTATTAGAAGTGTTAGCTGGGGTGTGCTTGAATGGGGTCGCTGTTCGGTGAATGTCAATCAAGAAAATTGGGTGAAAAGTAATCATAAGAAGTAATTTCTTAGCAAGTTCTTGTCCCTTGACTTGGGATAAGTCATTCATGTGCTTTCCTAGTGTACAATGGCTGCTGAGGACAGTCAGGGTCTGTGCTCTCCAAAGCCAGCAGGAATAGCAGAGTTTCCTCTTAAAAGCTGGAGAGGGGTGTGCCTGTGAGTAGAGATGGGAAAACTCAGTGATAGCCAGGGAAGGATTGTCTGTGGTCTGTGCTGTTTAACCTCATTTCCACATGTCTGGACAGTCCCAGGAGAACACTTGTTGCTGCTTTTCCTCTGGAGGTGTCAAGGCTTGGGCAGTGGGGGGAGGTTCCATGTGAAGGGAACACCCCCACCTCCCTCTCTGTTTTTCCAGCGTGTTTATTAATCAATGTTCCCCTAGTACCTCCACAAAATCTAATCTTCTAAAGAGATTTGGAATGCTTATATATAATCTGCTGCAGTGAGGGCGTCGCTGCATCCATTACTATGGCGATGGCACAGGCAGTTCCCTCGCTGGAGTTGAATTATTCATGTGTCTGGCGGGTTTGTGCCGCACCAGCCAGGGGAGCTGGGGCTGCTCAGCGGTGCCAGGGATCAGAGCCTGCTGAGAGGGGGCCCTGCATGGAAAAATGGCTCAACATGAGTAGCACTACCTGTGGGATTCAGCTATGCTGTCAGTGAGGACAATCCCCAGCAGTCACAGGAGGCAGACTGGATGGAACCAGACCTGGCGTCAGGTTTGGGGATGGGGCAAGTGTTGTTGCTTTTTGATGGGTTTCTGTGTTGCTCAGAGAAGCTGTGGCTGCTCCATCCCTGGAAATGTTCAAGGCCAGGTCACATGGGGCTTGGAGCAACCTGGGCTAGTGGAAGGTGTCCCTGCCCATGGCAGGGGGTGGCACTGGATGGGCTTTAGGGTCCCTTCCATCTCAAACCATCCTGTGATTCCATGATTCTGTATGCAGAAGGCTTGTTTGTTACTGCTCAGTAATATGTGGCACTTGGAGGTGTCCTGGGGTCAAGTGCCAGGAGCAGCCTGAGGCCAAGCCCTCCAGTCAGTGTTGCTGTAGGGAAGTCACTGAAGGCTTCCCTCCTCTCAGCTGGAACTTCCCTTGTGGGCCTTCTGGGCTGGAATTATCCACCAAAAATCCATATCAAACCTTCCAGAATTTTATTTTGCTGGATTAAACTGTTTTGAATGACAGGGACAGTTCTCTTCCCTGTGAGGTGAAATGTCTGCTGTGCAAGAAGCTCAGTCTTGGCTCAGTGGTTGGCATTGCAGAAGGGAAGCAAAGACATTTCAGGTGCTGTTCCATTTATAGAGAGACAACCTCAGAATACATTTTTACATTTTAAAGTTAAGATTTGTGTGGAAAAAGTAAGTGATGTGCTGTGACAGGTCCTCTCACCTGGGAATAGCACACTGGCTTTACATTCCCAGTGGGAAGGGAAACCCCCCCCAGTTCAGTGCCCGATCCCCGGAGCTGTGCCGGGACAGAAGCCGGAGCTGGACATGGTTCCTTCCCCTTGGAGAGGCTGCAAGGGGGACCTGGGGT